AGCAGCAGATTCTGACCTTCAGTCATCTACCTGTAAACCCCTGGGACTACAACCACCACTTCATGTCCTCACATTAAGTGAAAGATCACCAGATTTCTAGATTTCTAAAGAACTCAGTTCCTCAAAATGAAGAAATTCACGCAGGTGGCAAACTAAAAACTCTCTCCATGAGTGACAATGCTGATCATCAAAATGGAGAGTTAGAAATCACTCCACTGTGACACCATCTCCACCAGGTCTTTTGTCTTCGAGAGATGTTACCTGAAGATAGAACTAATCACTTCTCTGTTGAGACATTTTGTCAGCTATTTAGTGTTCTGCTTACAGGGCTTACACAACATCTTAGATATGACAGAAGAAAAACTCAGACCTTCATTGTGTGGCAGGTCTCCTGCACTGACTAATGTCCACAATGACAACAGCAGGCATGGCGTTTCAAATACAGCAATTGAAGGAACCTCTCAGGACATGACTGCTGAAGATGCAGCTGTGTTAAGAAGACAAATAATGAAACTAAATAGACGCCTGCAACTTGTAGAAGGGGAGAACAAAAAACGACCCAAAAGAGAGATGGTCATGTACTCAATTACAGTAGCATTCTGGCTGTTCACTAGCTGGCTGTGGTTCCGTCGTTAGTGGAAAACTCAGCTCCCAAGAATGTCTTGCTAGCTAGAAATACAGAATTCGCAAACATCTTTGTTTCTGTCTGCATTTTATGATTTTACACTTTATGCCTTCATAATTTCATTTCTTATATAAAGTAGGGAGGAAGGAGCAGTAAAAGTGTATTATGTCATTTAGCTGTATTTACATTTAACCTGTTCTGAAATAATACTTAAAATTCTTCTTTTGCATGTTTTGTAAACAGGCTTTATTTAGTCTTTTTAAATTTGTTACATTTTCTTTCTTTCCTTTGTTTATGTGTTTTTATTTTTTGAGACAGGATCTTGCTAAGTAATTCAGGTTGGCCTTGAACTCTGTGTCATGATGTCACCCAGGCTGGCCTCAAACTCATAGTGATCCTCCTGCCTCAGCCTCCCACGAGCTAGAATTAGAGGTGTGTGCCACCAAACCCAGCTATAGTCTTCTTTTAAAAAGAATGTTTTTTTTTCTTTGCTTCACCAGTCTTCAGAAATGCTTTTCTGAATGTGAGTATAGAGTGGGTTTAGAAGAGTAACTACAAGAAAACCAGTATCTTGTCTTGTTTTGCAAACACTATTAGACCAAATGGTTTTGTTAGTAGATATTTTGCACACATATTTCAACATCTACACTTTTGAAGTGTTTGGTTACACTAGCCTTGAGTCAGATTTAAGAAAATTGCCAGGGATCTAGCTCAGTTGTGCCACACTTGCCATGCAAGCACAAGGTCCTGAGAAAGAAAGAAAGAAAGAAAGAAAGAAAGAAAGAAAGCAAGATTGATTTAAGGAAATCAAGTCACCTAATCAAGTTACCTAAGAACCCATGGAGATTAAAATAATTATTAACATTTCAGCAGTTTATCTAATGAGCATGCATTTTATATGTTCTTATTAATCATTTTAGTTTTGCAGATGGTTTTCTATGAAGATTTTTGCTGGTTCCCTTTATGAATGGTTTAAAAGCTTACAGACTAAGATATAAATGTTATGTATTTAATAAATTGTCAACCAAACATAAAATAACCAAATAACTTGAAAAAGAAGAATAAAGTTGATGGATTTAATTTACCAAATTCAAGTCTTAATGATAAAACTTCAATGAACAAAACTATGTAGTACTGGCTTGAAAACAGACTTATCTAGAGAATATAATAGAAAGCATAGAAACAGACCTATGCACTTATGGTTAATTGATTTTTTAAAAAGAGGGCAAGGTAATTAAATTGGGCTAGTATAGTCTTTTCAGAAGATGATTTCAAAAATTCAAAAAAATCTACATGGAAATAAAAAGAACTTCAACCTTTATTCCATAACCTACACAAAAATTAATTAGAAATAGATCATAAATCTTAACAAAAAAGCCTAAAATTATATTCTGTAAGGAAATACAAGAAAATACTACTTTAGTACAACATAAAAAGCATGGTAAATTTGAAAAGTAGATGGATAAAGAAAATATAGCATATACAGGCAATGAAATAGTATTCAGCCTTTAAAAGGGGGAAATCCTGTCATTTTTCAACAACATAAAAAAACCTGGATGAAACTATGTTTAGTGACAAAGCCAGGCAAAGAAAAACAAGTACTACTTGAGTTTACCCTTATGAGGAATCTAAAAATTTCAACTCAGATGTACAGAGTAGAATGATAGAAAAAGGAACAAATTGATTTAAGGATACAATTTGTTAGAAGAAATAAGCTTTAGTGATCTGTTCTACAGAATAGTGGCCATAATAAATAATTCAGTGTATATTCCAAAATCATTCAAATTAGATTTTAAATATTTTCACCACAAAAAGAGATAAGAATGCGAGACAATGGATTTGCTAGTTAGTCTTATTTAATTATTCCACATTATAAACATAAAACTAAATCATTACATCATAATCTACAAGAATATACAATGACTTTTGTAAAAAGCAAAACTTGAAAAACCTAATGAATGAAAAAGAAAGTCAGGAATTGAATGCCAAAATTAAAAATTTCTGATCTTTGAACATTACTGTTAACAAAGAGCAAAGGGATGCATAGACACTGCCTAGTATAGATGCATTGACTATTTGCAAAACAATTTACTTAATAAAGAATTTGTGTCCAGAACATGTGAAAAATGCTTAAGACCCAATAATGAGAAGACAAACAATCCAATTAGAAATGAGCAAAAGACATCTAATCAAAAAAGATATATGAATGACAGATAATCACATGAAAGAAATTCAATACTTTTAGTCATTAGGGAAGTATAACTTAAAATCACAGTGAGATATTACACTCATTAGTACAGTGAAAATTAAAAAGGACTGCCAATGCTAAGGGTCAACAAGAATGCAAAGCAAATGAATTGCTCATTAAGTGTAGGTGAGAATATAAAGTGATCTAATCACTTTGAAAACCAATTTAGCAGTTTTTTATAAAATTAAAAATATACTTCCCTATGACTCATAGGTATTTTCCCAAGAGAGAAGGAAACATATGTCCATACAAAGTTTGAGTATTCATGAAAGTTTTATTCTTTCTTTTTAAAGTTTTATTCTTAATAGTCAAAAACAAGGAGGAATGAATAAACAAATCATGACAAACTTGTAAAGTACTACTCAGCAATAACGAATGATACACACACACAACATGGATGAATCTTGAAAACATGCCAAATAAAATGCCTGACACAAAAGGCTACAAATTGTATGTGATGCACCCTGATTTACGAACTCAATTCATTCATGAGGGCTGCTTGTAACTCAGGTTGGTCAACTGAAGGCTCAGGGTCCTCTACACAGTCTTCAAAGTCTCTCTCATCTATACAGGCAGATTCAGTGTCCTTGGAGAGACGCTGGCCCGGGATTTCTCAATTAACTCCACACAGGAAAGGATGATGTAATCTTCCTTCTAGAACTCTTTAAGAGTTCAATTTGTATCTGAGACCATCTGGAAGCACAACTGGTCAGCATTTGGGTTATAATTCAAGGTTTTTATTGTAAGTTAAAAACTAAAATTTTGATTGTAACCCAAGTTGTTCATATGTCAGGCCAGTTGTAACTCCAAGGGTCCACTGTACATGCATTTACATAAAACTCCAGAATAGGCAATCAAATCAATAGTGATAGGAAACAGATGGGGGAGTACGGTAGGAATTAACTTAAAAGAGGCACAAGAAAGATTTCTAGGGTATTAGAATACTTTCTATCTTAGTTGTGATGGCTGTTTATCAAAACCTTTCAAATTATATATGCATTCAACATATGTAAATTATACCCAAATAAAGTGTTTTTTTGTTTTGTTTTGTTTTGTTTTGTTTTTTGGTACTGGGGATTGAACTCAGGGTCCTTGTGCTTGCAAGGCAGGCGGCAGAACCACTGAGCTAAATCCCCGACCCTAAAGTTGATTTTTTTAAACAATCAATTTAATTCACCACATTAACTAAACAAAGAAGACCAAAACAAGATGATAATCTCAATAAATGTGAAAAAAAGTTTTAGATGAAATTTACTGTCCACTCATGATAAAAATTCTTAAACCTCAAAAGAGAGGTAAACTGTATTAGAAGTTTTATTTTACAAAGAACCCAAAGTAAACTTCATACTTACTGGTGATATGTTGGATTCTTTCCCCTCAATGCTGAGAATATGATGAAGATCTCCTCAATTCACTCTTGTACTTAGCACTGTACTATATGTCCTAGTTGGTACACTTAATAAATAAAAACAAATATGAAAATTAGAAATGAAAAAACTTTTTATGCATATATTAGTGCTCATTTAAAAATTTCAAAAGAACCTATATTCAGTTAATCTTCAAATTAATAAGTGTATTTAACAAAGCTAACAGATATAAAGTAAAAAAAACACGAATTTTAATATACTAGAAAATCCATTGCAAAATGTACTTTTAAGAAAACACCATTTCTAGTAGCATCACAATAAAAAATAAGATACCTAAAAATGAGCCTAATGTGTGATATACATAGACTCATAGCTCTGGAAAACAGCTCCAGACAGAAGACTATAACACTTAGTGAGAAATTAATGACCAAAGCAAATGAAAAGAATCCAATATTCATATATAAGAAAATATGATGAAGTCCAAATGTAAATCCTCCCAAAACTGATTAACTACTAATTGAATGAAAATATCAATGTTTTCATCAAATTAATAATGGATTCTAAATTTTTTTTTTCTGAAACAAGGTCTCACTATGTAGTTCAGGCTGGCCTTGAACTTATGTAGCCCAGGCTAGCCTCAAGCTCACAGCAATTCTCTTGCCTCAGGTTCCGGAGTGCTGGAATTATAGGTGTGCACCACCATGCCTGGCTTCTGTTGCTCCTTTTTCTCCTTCTCCTTCTCCTTTTCTCCTTCTCCTCCTCTTCCTCCTCCTCCTTTTTCCTCTTCATCCTCTTCTTTTGGCGTATTCTAAAAACACAAATCCAAAGCAATATCAAAATCAGTGATTCTAATGGATGTCAAAACTTACATAATAAAGGCAATGTGGTATTGGCGTAAAAATACTCAAATAGACCAACAAAATAGAATACATACACCAGAAACAGACATGACATCTAAAGAAATTTGATTTATTATAAAAGGTGCACTGCAGAAAACTGGGGGGAATATTTTCAACCAAGAATGCTGGATAAATAATAAATCCCTTATATTAAAAATTAGATTTGAGTAGCTCTGGGAGGTAGCCTGGGCCCCGATCCACCGTGGGAAGGAGAGCCAGGCCTGCTTCTGACCCAGCCGCCATCGCTCAAGCCCCGGGATGTAGACTGGGCCCTGATCCACTGCAGGAAGGAGAGCCAGGCCTCCTCCCGACCCAGTCGCCATCACTCAAGAGCCGGGAAGGTAGTAGAGCGGGTGCCCCTGAACCCCCATAAGTCCCCCCCCACACTCTCAGACCTCCTGTGTCAGTCTTTGGACCCACTCTGCAGAGGCAGAGGTGGTCATCAAGGGTATTTTTCTGAGTTCCCAACTTTGAACAGCTTTAAAGAAAGGGCATGGGAAAACTGTAATAGAGCGTTGTGGAGTTCAACCATTCAGAAGGTTGGGGAACTTAATCTGGGCCTTGCAGCCCAAGGTCAGTCCGCGTCATGGGGTTCAGCCATCAGCTAACTAAGACCAGGGGTCTTGCATCCTCGCTCTGTCTGAGCCATTAAATGGTAAATACACTATACTGAAAGTTTGTTCACTGCAGACATATTCTGGACTGCTTCTTGATTTCAATTTAATTAAAATGATTTAAGGGTGATAGACTAGTGACTACCACAGGTGGTCAATGTCCAAGTTGTGCTTGATCTTAATGTGTTGCTGATTGTATCAGTTGGGATAAAGCATTGCAGATGATTTGATGAGCTGTTTCTCTGATGTTATGAAGATGAGAATGTCTGTGGGTCATTAGAGACACGGAAGCTAGGGTGCAACTATATCAGGAAGATTTGGGTGATAACCCAGAGATTAAACCAAGGACAGTCTGACAACAAAATTAAAAATGAGAAAACACTTAAGCAAGACACAAGGACAGACTTCCAGTCCACCAATGGCAAACAGTAGGGCAAATGAGGATGAAAAGGCCAATAGTGAATCACCAGGACACCCTGAACTCAAAGCACAGGAAGTAACCAAACAGATCAATCAGGCTCTAGAAAAATTCAAAACAGAAAAAATTTCCCAGATAACCATAGAGATGGTGACCAAAATGGAAGTCATGATTCAAGACTCCAGAGCAGAAACTGACAAAAAAATAGATGAGCTCAGGACCATGATAGAAGCCATGAAGGCCCAGCATAAGAAAGAAATGGAAAAAATAAACACACAACATAGGGAAGAAATGGAATCCATAAAACAGATTCAAACAGATATCCAGGAGATTAAACACTCCATAGAAAGTGTACGTAACAGAATAAAAGAATGCAAAGATAGACTCTCAGATATAGAAGATAAGATTGCAGTCAGTGACCATGAAAAGACAGGTCTCTTAAAAACAGTAAGGGATCATGAGAAATCGATCCAACAACTCCCAGATGATGCAAAGAAGAATAACATAAGACTGATAGGAATCCATGAAGTAGCAGGAGAAAATACAAATGACTTAAAAAAGCTGTTTACAGCATTAATGACAGAAAACTTCCCAAACAGAGGGGAAGAATTTGCCATTCCGATAACTGAGGCATATAGGACCCCAACTAGCTACAATCAAAACAAATCTACACCTAGACATATAATAATAAAGATCCCAGAAACCCAAGAGAAGAACAAAATACTACAAGCAGTAAGAGAAAAGAAACAAATCACATATAAAGGAAAGCCCATCAGAATCAAAGCAGATTTTTCAACACAAACCCTTGGGGCAAGGAGAGCCTGGAATGAGATATTTCAAGTACTAAAAGAGAACAACCTCCAACCTAGACTGAGGTATCCTGCAAAACTCTCTTTCAAAATGGATGGGGAAATAAGACACTTCCACGACAAAGAACACCAGAGAAACTACATGAATATCAAACCAGCACTACAAGTAATTCTAAACAAGACCCTAGAAGAAGACAATGAAGGCAACAACACCATGAGGCCCAACAGAGCAAATCAAATAGGCAACGCAAGAAATTAAAAGGAGAAGGTGAAAAAGTAAAGAGTCAACAAAAGGCCAATAACATGTCAATAATAAATCAGTACATATCAGGTATAACCTAACATGTCAATAATAAGTCAGTACATATCAGGTATAACCAGCAATGTCAATGGCCTCAACTCACCAATCAAGAGAAATAGACTGGCAAAATGGAATAAGAAGCAAAATCCAACAATATGTTGTATACAAGAAACACACCTAGTGCAAAAAGAAGCCCAGAGACTGATGAAAAGATAGAAAACGATTCTCTATGTGACAGGAGCCCAGAAAAAAATAGGGGCAGCAATCTTAATGGCAGACAAAGTAAATTTCAAACCAAAACTGATTCTAGCAGTATTGATGTAGGACGGTACTGTATCACACCTCTATGAATGTAAAATATCTTATACCTGCTTTATGATACATAGTAGGGACCATGCTTCATCAGAGCTACATTTAATGATATTACTCTAGAATGTTCTCTTTCCAGATGATGATTAAGATGCTAATAAAAAAAAATGGTGCCAGGTACCAGAACAGCAACAGAACTTTGCTGTTTTCTAGATATTATTCTTTTCTTTGTTTCTTTTTGTTTCTTTTTGTTTTGTTTTCTTTTAATGGAATGTGCTGAATGTCTATAATTTTGTTCAGATGACTGCAGAACCTGGAAAAGCTGTTGCTGCTATTGATGCACTACATACTGCTATTATTAGTCTTTTTATATAAATATAAATATATACATATACATATATATAA